ACAAGTAGGCTACAAACGACTAGATTAAATTTATGGTAGGGCTATTATGGCACATTATGGGTATGAAATATACATCTATAAATCACTTATATATATATATATATATATATATATATATATATATATATATATATATATATATATATATATATATTTTTTTTTTTTTTTTTTTTTTTTTTTTTTTTTTGTGTGTGTTTGGAAAGGAAAGGTTAAAAAAAAGAACTAATGTATCTACACAGCCTAACAAAAAGCAAGGACAAATAACTTACAGGTAAAAAAAAAAAAAAGAAAAATGAATGGCTTAATGACCAAAATTTTAGAATAACGAGAGAATTGATTTCTGAAACTTACATTATGTTTCATAATACTACTTCTTATATGTCAAAAGATGAAGAAAAGTTTGTTTTCACAGTCAGAGAAAGTTTCATTTTTGAATGAATTAACTCTCTCTTAAAGCCTTATGCCTTTCCTGACAGGCTGATGAAAAACCTTCTATGTTACAATTTCCCAAAGCTTGTGCGCATTTTAAATAAGAATTTTGGGTTATTTTATTATTATTTTTTTCTTCACTGTATGACAGAAATGTTCTAAATAATGCCCTGAAGAGGAGGATGCGAAACGAGCAACATATTTACATCGAGCAGCCAGGTGGCGCCAACTCAACTTAAGTCGTTTAAAACACATCAGAAGAACAGAAGAAAATGTCCCCGGAAATATTTCCCTTTTTTAATGTACGATGAATAAAAGCTGTGCGTTTATGTATTATCATAATTCTATGCTTTAATAAGTAAACGAACTATTTAGCATGGACATCTCCTCTGATGAATCTGACGACTGGTTTATGGAGTCTCTAAACGCGTGAGTCTGACAGCAGTAAACTTGCATTTGGTCACCTAATGTTAACATATTGGCTGTGTTTCAACATTCATAGTGTTTCCTTCATATAAATATTTTTTGTTTCAACACTAATGTTTTTCCTACTTTAGCAGCATTTTGGGCACCAGTAACTCGGTTAATTTTTGATTTCAGATACAGAGACCTGCATCTGTTTCAACTCGAACATCCGACAAAAGTAATTGAGTGGATGGGTGACAAAAGTAAAGCATCTCTGAAGATCATTAAAATAAAATTGAATAAAATTTTAATCAAAAAAAGAAAAGAAAAAAATTATAAAGGCATTTATTCCCCCTCTTTTTTGCAGGTATTTGTGTAGCAGGATACACCGGAGCGAGAAGTGAAATTTTAGAGTTACTTCTACCTCTAAAGTTATATGCAGGAGACAATCAAGTAGGAAGAAATTCTATTCTCGTACATTTTTTAAATATGTTTTTCATTTCATTTAACTATGTGTTGGTCACTATTTTAGGGTCTTTGTGCAGAAAGAGACTTCAAGGTAAAGCATGGTGGCTTTTCAGAGGAACCTGTCGAGTGTTTGATACATATCCCAGGAACAAGGTAATGGCTGGATTTGGGTTTGTTCAAAAATGGAGATATTTACTTTCAAAGTGCTGGTTATTGGTGTGCATTAACCTGGTCATATAAATCTTTTTCAGTTAAAAATATTCTTTAAAGTCTCTTTAAAAAAAAAAAAAAAAAAAAAGGCTGCTAATCTTGGTTATTTAAATTAACAGTACATTTTCATTTGTCTCTTTAATGACATGTGCTAATGGATTATTTGGTAACACTTATCAACGTTATTCATCGTAACCTAGCTACTCATTGAGTATGTTTACATGAACACCAATAATCTGATTTTAATACGATTTATAAAATACTTAGATTAGGAGTCTACTATTTAAACAGCGATTTCTGATTACCATATTCCGATTAGCTTGTAATCGAACTAAATAGAAATCAAATTAAGACACGTGGAGTATGCCGATATAAGTCGCATTATTAAAGTGCAGTACAGACATGTAAACACCTTGATCAAACGATTACTGTCATTTAGGTTTTTCACCGTATTTTGCAACAGGATAGTCTACACACACATGTTTGTTTGACACTACTCTCTGCACCTACTGAGAGTGAAAGACCTCAGACACCTGCATCAAATGCTGAGGTTTTTTCCCCATATGGTGTGTGATATTAAATTTCATTAAAACTACTCTCTTGTTTGTCATGGAGGGCATGCATGAAATGTTTCTGAATGAAAGTGATAGTGCCAAACTGCAGTTAAAGTCGACAAATTAAAGATGAAACACCCGAAATTACATGAAACTCCAGAGGATATGTGAATAGCGTGGTGACACAATTAATCGAATTATGTGCTGTAACGTGTAAAACAGGATCATGACAGGAACATTAAAAAGAAACTCATATAAACACCTTAATTATGTTATTGTCGTGTTCAGATTAAGGCAAATAGTTTGATCACTGATGTCCATGTAAATGTAGTCACTGATGAAAATAATTGTCAACAGCAGTAAAGTTATTGTGAATGTTTTTCTATGTTCTTTTTTTCAGATCTGTTTTGCTTCGTGCATATGAAACTTATTTTATTAAATTAATCACATTTAGCACTGTTTTCACCCCAGCCCAGAGTTTTTTCTATTTCTTTACATAATATCAGCTGTTCTTTTACAGGTGTTTGGTCACTAGTGGAAATTCTAATACACTGCAGATTTGGGACATTGGAGGTGATGACAGTGGTAGGAATTTCAATTTATGTTTTGAGTAAATTGATAATTACCACAAACTACGTGTCATGTAATAATAATAATTAAAAAAAAAAACTTTATCATTAAGCATTTATTTATAGAAAATGACAGTATAGGCCAATATGAAATATTCCATGTTTTCAAACCTTAAAATCTGGAAAAAAATAATATAATTATTCTGACTTTAACTGTACATGTAGATAGCTAATAAATAGATGATTTTTAAAAATATTTAAGATGTAAAAACCCTGAATATTTTACATTGACCTGTCGTCAAGAAATGGGCAAAAATATTTTCTTATTTTAAAATGTTATCAGATTTTTAAAAATTAGTTTTTAAGCAATACTGGATTTTTCTATTCATGGACCATTTCAAATTTAACCTGATTTTTCAACAGATGTTATAAAAATGACCAGAGTCATAAACCTCAAGAGCCCATCAGCAAAAGGCAGTAAAATAACACCTGGATTCACAGACAGTCCAACAGTTCTTCATGGTTCTTGTATAAGTGACATACAGCTGACAGAGATTGCAACAGGACGAGTTCTGCATACAGTAGGTAATATCAGAAAAAAATACTTATAAATAAAAGCCACTTTTATAGCTCTTTTCAAATTCTTTATTATTTTTTATTTTTTAGGAAAAGAGTCCTCAGATTCAGTGAGTGGCTTACAGTTTGTGAATGCTTTTGTGTTCCTCATCTGTTCAACCAATGGTGCTTTACTCCTTGGTGACACGAGAGATCCCTCGACTTGTCATTATCCTCTGGAAGAGAGTAACAGTGGTTTGCGCTGGTCATTTGGGCTGAGGAGTGACAGCTCTCAGTCAGAACCTTCCTGTTGTAAAGTAGCAAGACTGTCTTCTTCCGGTCACATGCTTCTCTCTGATCTAAGAGATTTAAAGAGTCCTTTTTGTCAAACTCAAATAAAGGTCCCACAAAGTGCATCAAAGAACCACTTTATGAACATTTCTTGGGCCCCCGTTCTCGACAAATGTCTGTCTGTGTCAGGTCAGTAGAAAATGCATACATTTTTGCTTTTTCATATAAGGAACATACACTTTTAGTCTTTTAATATTTTATTTGCAGTAAAGCATTCTGTATTTAGCGTTTAGAACAAGTTTGAATAACCTTAACAGCAGTTTATGGATAGCAAACATCCAGACACTTTCTGTTGAGATAGCTCTTTATATATGTAATATGTAAATATATCCCATTCATATCCGCTCAAAAACTAAATAAACATGCAAATAAAATTACAGCAGTGAGAATGCAGCTGTTTAAGATAGTATCTGATAATAGCTGTGTGGATGTTTGTATAAGCTCTGTAATATAGCATTTCAATTCATTAACTTCATATTTATTTATTTAGCATTATATATAGTGGTTTGTGTTAAACAAACAGCTTTTCAATTGTGTTGTTTCTAAATAGATTTACATTTTAAATTTGTGCTATTGACCTTAATTGTCAATGCGGAAGTGCGTTCGTTTTTGCGATTGTTTTAGAACTACCGATTCAACTTCCGTTGTTTATGAAAGAAATGCTAGGAACAGAAAACGCTCTACAAACAAGTGTTTGCATGATTATACAGAAAAAAAAAGAATAATTCATTAAGAAAATATCAGTTCGCAACATCAAGCAGCAAAACTTGCTGTTGTAAATGTCTAAAAATGAATGGAAGTGAATGAGACCGGAAATCTTCAAATGGCTGCGCTCACTCGTATGCAGAGAATAAGGTGAATAAAGCTCCTTGACACTGTGCTTTACTCATCTCAATTCCTGCTACAAAAGAAATGAATTAAAAATGTTGTGTAATTGTTTACTTACTTGTAAACAACACTACCAGATGAAGCCAACTTTTTTAAAAAGTTTGCTTTAACAAGCTGTTTGCAATCCCCATTTTTTATTATTATTTAAAATGATTACACATTAGTGTGTTTTAAAATTTAGAAAGGTATTTGGATTTAGTAATATTTACAAATATGAATCTCTTGTTACTCACTGATGACAATATGTTTTCTGTTGGGAAGGGTTCGATGGAACAGTTCACATCTACAACACGAACAATTGGAGCACTGAATCATCGAGTCCTCAGCCAATTTTTTCACACCGAGGTCATGAAATGTCACAGGAAGCAAAATCCAGCACTTTCCCAGCTGTGGTCACCGCTCATTCTTGGCATCCATCTCGACCAAAAACTCTTCTCTCAGCAGCTACAGATGGATCTCTGCATGTGTGGGACTGGGTGGACAAAATCACTGACAGATGATCTTGATCAGTAGAAAAAAAACTATTGTGTAATGATACAAGATGGATTTTTGTCTTTTTAAAGATTTTGTGAAGTAATTTACAGCCTGAGTACAATGTTTGCAAACCAAGAATTAATAAATAACTCTGTCTTTGAGTTTTGACAATAGTAGTTATTATTATACTTTGTTGTTTCTGTTTGGTGAAATCCATCAGCAAATGATTTTAGATCATTTCTTGGAAGAGTTATTGATTCATTAAAATGGGTGTGACATTCAGGAATGAAGTAAATAGGTCACTTTAAGAGGGAACCACTGGATCATTGGTTCACCCCATTATTTCAAAACTTGCAATCATTCAGAAATGAATACTGCAGTGTTTTATTTTTATTATTGATACTGATACAGTCTTGTTGTCGCTTATAAGACTAGTCTCACTCTTTGGATTTTAAAAAACACATTTCTATTGTCTTTTTGACATTCTGAGGCACCTGATAATGTCTCAATGTGAAAATGAGTTTTTTTTTTATCCGTCAAAATATATATGTTATAATAATATGGAGAAAGACCTAAAGTGGTTATATAAATTGGCTGGTCTATATAAGTCAAATCTGAGTTCAAACTCTTGAATGAAATTCTATATCATGTTAATATTTTGATTATTTTAATGGTTTAATGTCACATTTGTGATTACATGTGCTGTTTTAGCTGTAATTTAATCAATTCTGTTTAGTAAATTTGGTAATTTGTAATTTTTCGGCCTTGTCATCTTTCTGTTCAAACAGGATAAAGCCTATTCCTTCAAGCTCACTTTTCTCTCCACATTCCATGAGACAGGCAAAGTGTTTTCCATCCCCACATTGAGTCAGATCACTGTATCCACTTGGACCCTCATGCAGAATCACAGGATTACCCCATCCAGACAAGTCACTCGCGCATTTATTTAAGTATACGCCAAGGGTTAATCGATTGGTTGCATTGGTTGGGTGGCAGTATAGCAGCCATGTTTTTTCAGATGCTTGATCAGGGGTAAAACTCAACACGCTTCCTTGGCAACCATTTCCAGTCTCTATCAGTTTATTTACAGATGAAGACGTGTCAAAATCTGTTCCTTTACTTTCACTTAGAGCCTGGACCCTGTAGTGAATTGTGCTTCGAGCATTGCAGTAAAGTTTACTGTTGCCTTCATCATCGATGATCTCAGCCATCTGACATTCATTTGAAGGTAGACCATTCATACACTTTCCGATATGCCAAGTGCTCCCTTTATCATCACTGTAGATTGCAAATGCATGCGATGTGGGTGGATTTTCTGAGGTGAAAAAATATGTGTACGCTGGGATAATCAGTCTCCCACTCTTCATCTGAATTCCATGTCCTGGTCCAACAGCAAAGGTGGCCCAGTTCTTCTCCTGCTCACCGATCACATCTGCTGTTAAATCAGTAACAGCACTCCAGGTTTCACCAGTGTCCTTACTGGTTATGTAACAAAGGCGTGCCTGATTCTTTTTCTCATTTTTTTGTTGCTGTTCAGAGACCCCAACAGGGACACAAATGAAAAACAGAAAGAGGGTTTTGGACTTTCTCTCATAGACCGGACATGGATTCATGCTGCGGTGGTTTGGGAGACAAGCTGACGTAAACACCTGTTGACCACTGACCCACTTCAATAAAAAATTAAAAAAACATGAAATAATGACTCAGTCATGCTTTTCACAATCAAATTAATTTCAGATTGAGTAAATCCACAAATCTACAAAATTGTTAAGTAGCTAAAGGAACTGAGAAAAAAAAACTGAATGATTCTGATGTACCTTAACTGGATTATTGTCATTCTTCCACAATCCTTTTTTCATCACAAGCAATTCTGCATCTGTGTCACTTGGGGTTTTCCGCCTTTCAGCAAAGGCAAGGAAGGTTTGTTTATCACTGATATATATGAGAGCTGGAATCCTGTAGGTCACTTGTTTTTTACATTGAGGCAGTTCCTGTTTGAATAATATTGATATTTCGGGAGGAGCTGAATAGCTTGATGAATGGCGTGACAGGCAACAGCAACCCATCATTATATTTTACCCTATTAACAGAATGAATAGTTAAAGTATCAGTAACACTGTGGCATATATACACTTATATCACATTAAAAACATATTAATGACATTGAGTTGCCTTGATCAAAGCTGGTCATGCTCATCAACCATCTACAGCATACACTAAAAGCTTTAAATTAATCATTAATACTTAAATTAATTTCTAATTTAATTAAAAGGTTAATTAACTTGCAACTCAACTTGCAGAATAATACAAATTAAGATCTTCTACAAATCAATTTATTCTATTGAAAATTAGTCAGTAAACTACCAGATGTAATACTCACAGATACGATCCTTCCTGTAGCAGCAACAGTCGAGTTTCCCTGAAAGTTGACTGCTCGAGCCCCTTGTAATGTGACCCACCCAGACTGTGCTTCCTTTATTTATAGTATTAAATATAGCGACAGAGGAAATTGACCAAATTTGGTCATTACACTTTTAAAAATCAGCTCATTTTACCCTTTGTTCCAGCAAATACTCTTTTTTCGTTTTTCAATTATTAACCCATTTTAATTCACAAAATTACAGTACTGTAACACAGAATGTAAACTCAAACTCTCAAATTCAAAACTCTATTAATATTAGTAATTAAAATTCCCTCTAGTGTCTCTCACTGAAATCCAACAATATTATTTGTGTTTGTGCTTCAGTGAGTTCTGCTATTACAGCATCACATTACATTACATGCATCAAATCAGAGTACTTTATGTACAGTACAGCACAGATGTGTGTAACTTATATCAAACAATATACACATTACACCAAATTATGTGTGCTTATATTTTATATATAATTGTTTGAAGTAATTTAAATACATATTGAAAAATGTTTATTTTATTATTAGGGCGACAGTGGCGCAGTGTTGTCGCCTCACAGCAAGAAGGTTGCTGGTTTGAGCCTCGGCTAGTTCAGTTGGTGTTTCTGTGTGGAGTTTGCATGTTGTTCCAGCGTTTGCATGAGATTACTCCAGGTGCTCCTGTTTCCCCCACAGTACAAAGTCATGCGGTACAGGTGAATTGGGTATAGGCTAAATTGTCCGTAGTGTATGAGTGTGAATGAGTGTGTATGGATGTTCCCCAGAGATGGGTTGCAGCTGGAAGAGCATCCGCTGCGTAAAACATAAGCTGGATAAGTTGACGGTTCATTTCACTGTGGCGACCCCAGATTAATAAAGTGACTATGCAATAAAAAGCAAATGAATGAATTTTTTATTTATTTTTTATTTATTATCAGCTGGGGATAATATTTAAGCACTATTGGTATTATGACATACTTTAGCAACTGAATAAAAACCAATAGTGGTTATACTATCCCTAGCTAGTAATAAATAAATAATAATAATGTTCAGCTGGGTTTTTGCACACCTTTGATTTTAAAAAGGAAAAGGGATGTTTCTGGCTGTGTTGATGTGGGAATGTTGAATGTTGAGGAGGAAAGGGACAGTATAAAAAGGGGAGTTCCATTGCAAAGGCAATCTGCACATTAGCAACACACACACACACACACACACACACACAGGCACTGTGATGGAGATTTACAGTAGCAGATACAGTAGAGCAGAGAGAAGTTCTTTCCAAGACACTGTAAGTCATAATTAATGCATTTATGAAACCAAAAAACTGTCACCAAGTAGAACACATGCTCATTTCTGTGACATGCTCAGGTCAATGAAGTTCAAGCCGAGACAACAATTCATGCATTTCAAAGATGTTCGTTAATATATTTTTTTTTTTGCTTAGTCCCTTTATAAATCAGGGGTCACCACAGCGGAATTATCCAGCACATGTTTTACGCAGCAGATGCCCTTCCAGCTGCAACCCATCTCTGGGAAACATCCATACACACTCATACACTACGGACAATTTAGCCTACCCAATTCACCTGTACCGCATGTCTTTAGACTGTGGGGGAAACCACTACACCTGGAGGAAACCCACGCGAACGCGGGGAGAACATGCAAACTCCACACAGAAATGCCAACTGACCCAGCCAAGGCTCGAACCTGCAATCTTCTACCATGTCACCCTCATTTTATAGATGTCTTCTTGAAAATAAAAAGCATACCTTTTACAGTTTGGAATGAGGTCTCGGTCCTATTTGTACAACCAAAAAGAACAGAGTATCTCTGGCTTGTATTTGTTGGATGGCAATATTGTAACCTTTTTTTTTTTTCAAACATTGAAATCGGGCAAAACTCAACATGCTTACTTGGCAACAATTACCACTCTCTGTCAGATTATGTGCAAGTAAAGGCCTGTCGAAAGCTTCTCCTTTACGTTTAGAGCCTTATTTCTGTACAGAAGATTTATTATTATAACAGCACATTCTATACAAAAATATAGTTCAAAGTGCTTTACATATACAAGATTAAAAGAAGCTAAATACAAGTATAAAAAATTTAAAGAAATTCAAATTTAAAATCGATTAAAGTTTTCTTTCCATAAATGTCCTAATTACCGCAATGCATATCCTTCCTTAATCACACTACTTTTGAAAGTGATCAGAATTTTCCTTTGAAAATATCTTGAACACCACAACCACAGACTTCAAACATAAAAATGATCAAAAACTGATTAAAAATGTGTAAAAACAGGTTTTTTAATGGAACAAAAAGAAAGAAAGACAAAATAATGCAATCTGTTGGACATAACACAGTGTTTATTCAGTTAAGGCACAGCTAAACAGATGTTTTTTTAGTATTGATGTCAATGTGTCCACTGCTGTAGCACATCTGATCACTTCTGAAAGCTGATTCCAGCAGCAGGTGGCTTATTAGTAGCTAAAATCAGATTCACCCTGTCTGAATTTAAGTACATTATTTCTAATTTACTCCATCATAATGATCTGAGGGATCTATTAGGTTTGTATTTAGTGAGCATATCTGAAATATGTTAAGGTCTTAAGGTAATAATACTATCAAATCTATTGTTAATGTAACTGGGAGCCAGTGTAAAGACCTGAGGACAGGTGTGATGTGCTTTGATTTTCTGGTTCTGGTCAGAATCCTGACAGCAATGTTCTGGATGAGCTGCAACTGTCTTTTGGGAAGGCCGGTGAAGAGCCCATACAGTATCCACCCTGCTGGTGATAAAAGCATTAACAATTTCTCACTGGAAACAAAGCATCTAATCCTTGCAATGTTTTGAGATGATAGGATGCTGAAGACAACTATTCACACCATACAGATGAATGGCAACAAACCAATCTGTTTGGTTTGTTGGATCCATGTGTTACCCCTTGTCCATATCTGTTGCCATTACTTTGAAGTTTTTATTTAATCCGACTGAACATGTTCAATCAGAGTTTGTTGGGCAGTGGAATGTTTGAGTAGTGTGTAATGATTTTCTATTAAACATGTGGACTGGACATTTACACATTTTAAACTACTTAATAACGTACAATTGCTGAAAAAATACTCAATTAGAGTAATTTGAGGATTTTTAATTAGTTACTTTACACCACTGGTGAGATTTTAGTATTATGCTAGTAGATACTGGTATGTTAGTAAACAAATGTTCACTTAGTTTTCACCAAAGCTTTCTTTTTTATTAAACATGATTAAATCATTATGCTGCCTCAGAAGTATTACATCAGTTTTACAACATGCCTTTGTGTGCAAACACTGCATCCAGTCTCTTTTTTTCCCCAAAACATTAGTTAAAATATATTTGTCAGAACATAATTTAAATGACACAACACTCACATTTATTATTACTGGCACCATGTGCTTGCAGTGGACTTCATTGGCAAGAATGCAGAACAAAGGAGAATCCATTATATCTTATGTTAATTATTATTTATATAGTTTGAAATTAGGAAACACATTATACTACACAGTTTAAATGTCTCTGACAATTAATAATAATAATAATAAAAAATAATTATATATATATATATATATATATCCCGGTTTCAAGTATCAGTATTTAAGAAGCAAAATCAACAACACAATGGCACACATGGCTATGAAAAAATATAAATTGTAATAATTATGTACATCAAAATGTACATCAATAATTCAGTGGGGCAAATAATTCTGACTTAAACTACATATATACATATATATATATATATATATATATATATATATATATATATATATATATATATATATATATATATATATATATATATATACTTTTTTGAAAATAAGAACTATATATAATAAATTATATTGTTTATAATAATTATACAAGTCTTACATTTAAAGACATATTTTGTACAATTTACTTAATTGCATGTTAAAATTAATAATAATTGATTTGTCATAATCCATTCATTTGTAGGTTTAATTTTGTAGGTAAAATGTTACAGCTTTTTCTCAGGGAGTTTGAAGAGCAAAAAGGCTATTTCTTCATTCTCGTATTCCTTCCCACACTCCATGAGACAAGCAAAGTGTCCAGGCTCAAACTCTACCAGATCTGAGTATGCACTGGGACCATGATGTAATATCATTAAAGGTTCATCTGACCACCCCGAGGAATCCAATGGGGATTTATTCAAGTAGAGTCCAAGATCCACTCTCTTTTTTGGATTGGATGGATGGGAGTAGAGCAGCCATGTTTGTGGAGGACTACTTTGTTCAAGAAAGCTCAACACACTGCCTTGACATCCCTTACCAGTCTCTATCAGCTTGTTTGAGGATAAAACAGTGTCAAAGTCCTCTCCAGCGTTGTTGCTTAGAGCCTCAGTTCTGTAACCAAGACGGGTTCGAGCATTGCAGTAAAGAGTACTATCACCTTTCTCACCTACAATCTCTGCCATCTGACACTCACATGACTCAACGTCCATTTGTTGTCCTGCCTTCCATGTGATTCCTTGATCATCACTGTAGAAAGCTAAAGCATACGGTGTGCAAAATGATAAGCAGCAGCATAAAATGCAGACAGGTTTGTCTGTGTAGCGATAGGCATATGCTGGAATAATCAGTCGGCCACTCTTCATTTGAACACCGTGTCCTGGTCCAACAGCAAAGGTGGCCCAGTTCTTCTCCTGCTCACCGATCACATCTGCTGTTAAGTCGCTAACAGCACTCCAGGTTTCACCAGTGTCCTTGCTGGTTATGTAACAAAGGCGTGCCTGATTCTTATCCTCTTTTATTTGTTTCCGTTCAGAGACCCCAAGAGGTACACAAATGAAAAACAGAAAGAGGGTCTTGGACTCTCTTTCATAGACCGGACATGGATTCATGGATCGATGGTTTGGTAGACAAGCTGAAGTGAACACCTGTTGATCACTGACCCACTTTAATAATAATAAAAAAAACATAAAATAATGACTGAATCATGTTTTTTTACAATCAAATTAATTTCAGATTGAGTAAATCCACAAATCTACAAAATTGTTAAGCAGCTTAAGATACAGTCACAAAAAAACTTAAAAATATTGAATGATTTTGATGTCTAATACCTCAACTTGATTGTCATTCTTCCACAATCCTTTTCTCATCACAAGCACATCTGCATCTGTGTCACTTGGGGTTTTCCGCTTTTCAGCAAAGGCAAGGAAGGTTTGTTTGTCACTGATATATATGAGAGCTGGAATCCTGTAGGTCACTTGTTTTTTACCTAGAGGCGGTTCCTGTTTGAATAATATTGATATTTCGGGAGGAGCTGAATGGCTTGATGAATACGCCATCATCATACTTTTAACCCTATTAACAGAATAAATAATTAAAGTATCAGTAACATGTGGCATATATACACTTATGTCACACATTAAAACCTATCAGTGAAATGAATTGAGTAGCCTTGATCAAAAGCTGAAAATGCTCATCAACTATTTTTATTTTTCTATTATCTTTTTTCTTGTCATGACTTGACAACCACCTCCAGTATATAGACTACTAGAAGCTTTACATTTCATTGTTCATTGTCACATTTACATACATTGTTATTTAGACATTTCAGACTCCATTAATTGTCTGAACATGAAAGCTTGCAGAACAATGCAAATTAAGATCTTCTACAAATTAATGTATTCAATTGAAAATTAGTCAGTAAACTACCAGATGTAATACTCACAGAAACGATCCTTCAGCAACAGTTGAGTTTACCTAAAAGTTGACTTGCTTGAGCCCCTTGTAATGTGACCCACCCAGACTGTGCTTCCTTTATTTATAGTATTAAATGTAGAGGAAATTGCCCAAATTTGGTCATCACACTTTTAAAAATCAGCTCATTTTACCCTTTGTTCCAGCACATATTTTGCTTTCTCTCTTTTGTTGAGTAACCTAATATAATTCACAAAATTACAACACCATAAACAGATAAACTGAATGAGTTAAACACAAACAATATTCAAAACCTTAATTTTAGAAATTAAAAATTGCCTTAAATGTCTTTCACTGACATCCAACAATTATAAGTTGTGTTTGTGCTTCAGTGAGTTCTGTTATGACAGCATTTTAAAGGGTCACGAAACACCAAAACACATTTTTTGAGCTGTTGACAGTCGTATATGTGTCCCACACTGCTAAAAACACTATTAGGACACCTATATTTCACTAAAAAGTGTAAATTGGTTGTTTTTGCGTTATTTCAAGCAAATTCGTACTTCCTGTTTGAAACGAATTTTTGAAGCTGCGTCACGGTCATGACATAATAGCGTATATTCCAGCGTGCAGACTGGACGTCTGTGCCAGAGTGTGCCTTATTACGTCTTACAGTGTGATGCATTAATGCATGAGTAAGGCTTGGTTCAAACCAATCAGCGCGCTCTATTGTGCAACTTCATTAATATTCATTACTGTCACCGTCTTTACACCACAGAGACGCCACGTTGTGTTGGCAAAACAAGCGTGAAGTGTTGCTTTTACAGTTTGCTGCCATTAAGTTTCGTTTTCATTTTCTCTCTGTGAGAGCTCAGCTGGATCACGTGTGGATTAACAGTGTACGCGACGCTCGACAACAATAATTTACGTGTCTAAGGGGGATTATTGTTTACCTGAGAGCTGTTCTCATCTGCAAACGCTGAAATCCGGATTCCGGATGTAGTCTTCTCTTCATAAAGACGCGGCTCTAGTTGCTGGTGATTGTCCTGTCTCTACAGATTTGGTAAGTGAGCGACCAGTGCTCTTTGTTTATTCAGTTTGTTCGTATCAAATAAGTTAATTATTGCATTGAGTGCAAACATGTTAGCACCGCATTTTGTGACCGGAATAACACACGCGGCTTTCTGACGCTACCTGCCGTGTGCATCTAAGTTTCCGGGAAATGCGGAGTTTTTTTCTGTCATTCGCCGTGCGGTATCAAACATTGCATGAAAAATACACGCTTAGAGCAGATCTTCGAATCAAATATCTCATTTGTCGCGAGGGGCATGAATGAATTCCCTGAATGAAAGAGCCGAACTGCAGTTAAAGTCCAACATTTAATAATTTGGCAAATAATTCGACTACAGATGTCCATGTAGGTTAAACACCATCCCTTTCTCCTGTGTATTTTGACTGAAACTCGCGCGTGCCCAAATAGACACTCCCACACCCTCCCACTTTAGTTTCTCCGACACTCCCCCCTAAACAGAGCTGGACACCCCCACTTTTCTGACTTTTTCCAAAGAAGAGGTGTGAAAACACCCTGCTGAAACGAGGGGGTTTCATGGCCCTTTAATATGTAAGCAACAAGATATGAGAGATGAATTGTGACAAAAAGTTAAATGGTTGAATTGACCAAAGCAGCATACCTTAATACAGTACTGGATTAATATGTTTAACTTACTGTTTATACAACTTTTACCAAACAATATAAACATCACACCAAATTATATGTGCTTATTATTTTCAAAGTTTTGAAGCAATTGAATTAAATCTAGAAAAATTATTTCTTCTATTTCATTATTATATTATTATTTATATGTATTTATTATCAGCTGGGGATAGTGTAAGCACTATTGCTCTGATGACATACTTCAGGAACTAGATGGAAACCCCTGTTTCAGTAGGGTGTTTTCACATCTCTGATTTTAAAAAGGAAAAGGAATGTTTCTGGCTGTGTTGAGGTGGGAGTGTTGAGTGTGTCAAGAGAGAAAGGACTGTAAAAAAGGGGAATTTCATTGTAAATGCAATCAGATAGAGTAGCTCAGAGTGCAGTTCTTCGCATTGCAATTCCCCCAAATCACACAATAGTCATACAGATGTTCTTTGCCATAAATAATCAACAAATTGATAAAACCAATTATCTGTCATCAAGTAGAACACATGTTTATTTCTGTGACATGCTCAGTTCAAGCCGAGACAACAGTACGGGCTTCCTAGATGCCTTCTTGAAAATAATTAGTACACCTTTTACAGTTTCGAATGAGGTCTCAGTCCTTTTTGTACAACGAAAAAGAACAGAGTATCTCTGGCTTGTATTAGTTGGATGGCAATATTGTAGCCTTTTTTTCAAACACTGCAACAGGGGCAAAACTCAACATGCTTACTTGGCAACAATTTCCACTCTCTGTCAAATTATGTACAGGTAAAGGCTTCTCAAAAACTTCTTCTTTACTGTTACCTAGTGCCTCATTTCTGTAAGGCAGGTTTATTAATATAGCAGCACATTTCATACACAATGTTAGTTCAGAGTGTTTTACATATACAGGATTAAAAGAAAAACTAAATACAAGTGCAAGACATAAAAAGAAGTTCAATTCAAAATCAACCTCAATTTTCTTTCCAAAAATGTGTTAATTACCGCAATGCGCAATCTTTCTCCTTACTTTCACAAGTGATCTGAATGTTTTTCGAAAATGTCTTGATCACCACAAAGTTCAAACACAGAAAATAAAAATGATTAAAACAGGTAACAAATGTTTCATAAAGAAAGACACACATTTTGTTATCTGTTAGACATGTCACAGTGTTCTTTCCGTAAAGGCACAGCTAAACAGATGTGTTTTTGGTATTAATTTGAATATGTCCACTGTTTTAGCACATCTGATCACTTCTGAAAGCTGGTTCCAGCAGCAGGTGGCTTATTAGCTTAAAGCAGATTCACCCTGCTTTAAGTGAACGCTTGGAATTTCTAATTTACTAAATTCTAAACATCTGAGTGATCTGTTCTGTTTGTAATGAACGTATCTGAAATATGTTAAGGTCGTAGGCCATTTAGTGAATTATAATACTATAAAATCTATTTTGAATGTATTGGGAGCTAGGGTAAAGATGAGGACAGGTGTGATGAGCTCTGATTTTCTGGTTCTGGTCAGAATCCAGACAGCAGCATTCAGTCAGGTACAAGTTAACTGTCTTTTTGGGAAGGCCGGTGAGGAGTCCATTACAGTAATCCACCCTGCTGGTGATAAAAGCATGAACAAGTTCTCACTGGAAACAAAGCATCTAATCCTTTCAATGTATTTAATATGATAGTACGCTGACTGTTTACACCACTGGTGAGATTTTAGTGTTGTGCTAGTAGATACTAGTATTATAGTAAACACATATTCCTTTAATTATCACCAAAGTTCTCTCTATTTTTTTGAACATGATTAAATCATTATGCACCATGTATTTGCAGTGGACTTTATTGACAAGAATGTAGAACAAAAGAGAATCAATTATATCTTATATTGGTTATATATTGTTTAAAATGAGTAAACACATTGTTACACAGTTTGCATTTTATTCAAATGTGTCTGACACTAGTTCAGCAAAAGTGATAAAAGGCAGTACACTGGCATTAAATTGTCTGTTATATGAATGTAATACATAATAGATCGGTTAAACTAATAATCTATTATACGTATTATAATCAGCAGAATATATACAGTACAACACAGTCTGTTTGATTCCACATAGACCCCAGTTTCAAGATCAGTATTTACGGAGATAAATTCAACAACAAACAAATGGCAAATAAAAAAAACTGGATTGTAATGAAAATTAAAATACACTTTGGTTTTTAGAATTTTCAGCTTATGCAAAAAAAAAAAAAAAAAAAAGGAGAAATTTCCATTTGTCTTAAATTAAAGATGTTCATTCATTCATTTTCTTGTCGGCTTAGTCCCTTTATTAATCCGGGGTCGCCACAGTGGAATGAACCACCAACTTATCTAGCACATTTTTACGCAGCGGATGCCCTTTTCAGCCGCAACCCATCTCTGGGAAACATCCAAACACACACACACACACACACACACACACACACACACCCACACACACACACACACACACACACACACACACACACACACACACACACACACACACACACACACACACACACACACATCCACTACGGACAATTTAGCCTACCCAATTTACATGTACTGCATGTCTTTGGACTGTGGGGGAAACCAGAGCACCCGGAGGAAACCCACACAAATGCAGAGAGAACATGCAAACTCCACACAGAAATGCCAACTGAGCCGAGGATCAATCCAGCGACCTTCTTGCTGTGAGGCGACAGCACTACCTACTGTGCCACTGCATCACCCCACATTAAAGATATATATTTTGTAATTTAGCTCAGTGAAATTTATCACGTTATAAATTGTTATATTGTACGATTCAATTGATTACATGTTCAAGTATTAATTGATTTTTCATGATCCATTCATTAAGGTTCAATTTTTTTGCAAAAATGTTACAGCTTTTTCTCAGGGAGTTTGAAGAGCAAAAAGGCTATTTCTTCATTCTCGTGTTCCTTCCCACACTCCATGAGACAAGCAAAGTGTCCAGGCTCAAACTCTACCAGATCTGAGTATGCACTGGGACCATGATGTAATATCATTAAAGGTTCATCTGACCACCCCGAGGAATCCAATGGGGATTTATTCAAGTAGAGTCCAAGATCCACTCTCTTTTTTGGATGGGATGGATGGGAGTAGAGCAGCCATGTTTGTGGAGGACTACTTTGTTCAACAAAGCTCAACACACTGCCTTGACATCCCTTACCAGTCTCTATCAGCTTGCTTGAGGATAAAACAGTGTCAAAATCCTCTCCAGCGTTGTTGCTTAGAGCCTCAGTTCTGTAACCAAGACGGGTTCGAGCATTGCAGTAAAGAGTACTGTCACCTTTCTCACCTACAATCTCTGCCATCTGACACTCACATGACTCAACGTCCATTTGTTGTCCTGCCTTCCATGTGATTCCTTGATCATCACTGTAGAAAGCTAAAGCATACGGTGTGAAGCAGCAGAATGATAAGCAGCAGCATGAAGTGCAGTCAGTTTTGCCTGTGTAGCGATAGGCATATGCTGGGATAATCAGTCTTCCGTTCTTTGTTTGAACACCGTGTCCTGGTCCAACAGCAAAGGGAGCCCATTCGTTCACCTGCTCACCGATCACATCTGCTGTCAAGTCTATTGTTTGGCTCCAGGTTTTGCCAGCGTCCTTACTGGTTACATAACAAAGTCTCCCCTGGCTCTTATTTGTTCGTATTTGATCAAATTCAGAGACCTGAGTCGGAACACAGACAAAGAACAGGAAGAGGGTCTTGGAGTCTCTCTCGTAGACTGGACATGGATTCATGCTGCGGTGGTTTGGTAGACTAGCTGAACTTAGCACCTGATGACCACAGATCCACTGGAATAAATAAGAAACAAAACAAAACAATATGACTCTCTTCAGATTAGATTGTGTAAAGCATCTATGAAATGGTGAAGTTGGTACAAAGACAATTTAAGGAGTTTTCACATGTTCCAACAAAGTTTGTTCTAACAAGAAATTAATTTTGAGTATAGGGATTTTTTACAAAAGGCTCGCATGCCAAACGCACAGTGTGTCATATAGTATTTGAAATGAAGTGATGTCAAGCATTGCCAAATTGAAATGTGGGTAAGCACGTCTAATAGACATCTAAATGTAGACAGTTTGGCTAAAACAAAGCTCAACTTGGGCTGTCAGTGAAAATCTGAGAATAGCCCAAAACTAGACTAGTCGTCAAATCGACAAATAAGATAGACGTTATATGTGTCATTCATTTCAGTTTATTTGACGATATTCCTATTCTTAGACGTCCATTAAATTTTCACTGACAGCCCATTTTTATGCCCAATCCCAAGTCTATCCCTTACCCCTACCCCTCGTTTTGTGCATTTCCGTGAAGAGGTAAGGGTTTCCCAAGTCTCTTTAGCTTGAAGGTGTAGGTGTAATTTTCCCAGAATACACCAGCCACAACAGCAAGACTGCTACACCCAGAAATAAGGAGATCCACAAATTAGTCTTTTTTGTCATTTTTACAAATTTTTACAATAAACAAGCACATGTTTTAATATATATATATATATATATATATATATATATATATATATATATATATATATATATATATATATATATATATATATATATATAACACTAAATTTTGTGATCCATAATCAAAACTGTATAGCAGTCCCACAACATTCTGACACTCGATGACGCTTAAATACCCTGTCAGTAATGTCTAGTGGCTGGGAATAACCTTTTTACAATGTCTGCTATAATGTTAATGTTGTTTTTGGTGTGTTTACATAGATCAATATGGCCACTGTGTAAATGCACAGTACAGTTACAATCTTATTGCTACATTAGATTGTTATGATAACATAATATATGCCTTCAGTGATTTCCTAAAGATAAATACCAAAAATTAGCACAACTAGAACAACTATAGCAGTCGAAATCGTCTGATCTCATATAAAGCAAGAGATCGCAATGACATATGATGACTTGTGCAGGTGCTGTAGTGCCGCTCCAATTCTTAGGGGTAAATTTTAAAGTCCTATGACTTCACACTCGGTTTAAAGGGCCAAGGTGACTACGTTTAGGCGTCTGTTAGACACCTTTTTAAAAAATTACATGTTTGTGAAACTACCCAAGTGAAGGAAAAGCTTATTATCATGTTTAGTAATCACTCAATGCTGTATGATAAATCTGAAACAGATCTTTATGCATTACTATACTACTACTAATTCTGTGCCTTTTTTGTGTTGCGGTTCAAACTGGCTGTCGTTATGATCACGTCATTGTGAACTTTCAGACGTGCCCTAAAGTGTTAAAGTCCATGTGAACTGCAAGTTGCTGTGACTTTTATCTTTGTTTATGTACTTCTAAATGGAATTGAATATCGATTAAGAGGCACGGCTTTCCTTTTGACATCATTTTCTTGTAGCAGGCGGTGTGGGTAAGAATATTGTGGCTGAAGCTGTCAAACTGACGTTAACCGAGAAAGACTGCCACTCCAAACTCAGAAGCAAATGGTCGGACTTTGATTGAAGATTACCAAAACAAACATTTTCATCAGTGGAATAATTCGGATAGAATGGATTGCAGCTGGAAGGGCATCCGCTGTGTAAAACAGAAGCTGGACAAGTTGGCAGTTCATTCCACTGTGGTGACCCCTGATGTATAAAGGGACTCAGTGGAAGGAAAATGAATGAATGAATTTTCCTCATGGGAGCTTTCTGTTCATTTTCCTTGTAATACATTTAGACTTATCATTTTGCATGCTCGAGACTAATTCAAAATCTGACCGGCCTGTTGGGGATTTATGCAGACATAACAACCATCTGGAAGTACGTTATCTCTCATGTAAAGAATGAGCAGAACAAGGTTTAATGACCAGGGCTTAATGACCCTGGAATAACTCATGTAGAATAATTTTTAATTCTTACATACCTCAACTTCTTTAGTCTTGGCATCCACCCATGTTCCTCTTCTCATCACAAGCACTTCTGCATTTGTGTCATTTAATGTTTTTCTCTTTTCAGCAAAGGCAAGGAAGGTTTGCTCATCACTGACATAAACGAGAGCTGGAATTCTATAAGACACTTGTTTTTTAAAACAGCAGCACCAAGTTTGAGGCTGCTCCTGTTTGAATACTGTGGTTGTGTTCATTTCTTTAGGATAACCTGATTTGCTTTTTGACGGTGTCTTGTTGCCCATTTTTAAAATTTAGGCCTAGAAACAGAACACATTAAATTAATAACAAAGCAGTAGACATGTGTTAAACAAAATAGTTTCAATAATTATTTAATGCAAAGTTACTGCATTTGTTCTGTTTAGTCATTATGATAGTTTAAGGAGTTTGGAAAATATTTAATTATTTTTAAAAAGCTGAGCATCATACTGTTTTTCCTACTATACACTGAGAACTTTACACTTACATATTTTAATGCCACTGTATGAGAGGTAGAGCTATAAAAAGTAATTTTACAGCCACTTATATGATACTTTTTAGTGTGCAGCTGCAGTTATGCTGTCTTTGCTGATGCATATCTGAAGTAAAAGTTTGCAAAAACTGTAAAAAAATATATAAATAAAATAAAATTCACAGTATTATTCAGTCAAAAATCATGAAGAACTCACCCTGGATTGAAAAAAATGACGGGCCTTCACAGGATGAAGTAACACTTCACCTTGCTTTGTCCAAAGCAAAACAATGTATCTAATCATTTTTTAAACAAAAGTAACATTAGATTTTAGTTCTTCTAACTGAAAATTCATCATTTTATATCAGTAATTTTAAAGTGACATTACCATACCATGAAATATGTTCAGCATAATCTTTATGGGGAAACCCAATGGATTCTGTCTATATCAATAATTCTTTACTAATCAGAAGCAATACTTACAAAAAAACTCCTGCTGCAAAAACAAATGATTCACACCACAAGAGCCTCTCATCTGGTCTAACCAACACATGCTGGGCACTCCTTATTTATAATATCCCATATCAACAAAGGAAATGACTGAAGCCAGGTTGAACATTTACTAACTTAAAGAGCAGGATGATAAGTAAAAGACAATGTGGTCAAATATTAACTATTTATTATTTCATTTAACGTGATTATTTTGCAAAAACATTTTTTAAAAATGTAAAAACTATATTTTAATTATTTATTTTACAGTACTGTTTAATTAAATTGTACAGAAACCTGAAACAAGAAAAGGTCAGAACTGTCCTATTTTGGTGCAAGCAACCAATTCTATTTCCAAAAATGATGTCAAATCTGTGAAGACATTTTCCAGTGTTACAAATATGCTGAAATGAAACAACATAATTATTCATGCACTGTAAAAAATCCTGGCTGCCTGGTAAATTTTTAAGCTGAATCAACTTAACCTTAAGAGTCCATTAAACTTATGTTCAAATTACTTAAAACAGCTTGCTTTTCAGTTAGAGAATGATAAACTTAAGTTTCATAAGTTACCAAAAACTAAAAACATATGCTGTCACGACCACTTGATCACATAATTTATTAGTGTGTACTGTACAATTAAAGTCAGAATTATTAGCCCCCCCCCCCCATTTCTGTTTAACTGAGATTAAACGAAAACGAAGATTTTTTTCAACACATTCCTAAACATAATAGTTTTGATAACTCATTTCTAATTACTGATTTATTTTATCTTTGCCATGATGACAGTAAATAACATTTTACTAGATATTTTTCAAGACACTAGTATTTAGCTTAAATTGACATTTAATTAGGTTAACTAGGCAGGTTAGGGTAATTAAGCAAGTTATTGTATAACAATGGTTTGTACTGTAGACTATTGAAAAACAAATAGCAGAAAGGGAATAATAATTTTGACCTTACAATGTTTTTTTTTTATTATTATTAAAAACTGATTTTATTCTAGTCAAAATAAAACTAATAAGACTTTCTACAGAAGAAAAAATATGATCAGACATACTGTGAAAATGTCCTTGCTCTGTTAAACATCATTTGTAAAATATTTAAAAAAAGAAAGAAAAAAATAACGTGGGGGCTAATACTTCTGACTTCAACTGTATATAGAAATGCATTTGAGGCCGCACTGAGGTTCTTGGTCCTTTAATGTCAGGAATGTTTCTTGTTCTAAATATGCCTGATAATATTTTTGATTTATTATAGACATTTTAGTGTGTGTCTTCTATACATTATGGTAAAAAAAAATGTAATGAAAAATCTTTCAAATTAAAGAGGACAGACTATCTTAGTATTTCAAAGAAACTCTCCACATCATATGTAAAGAAAGATTAGCAATTTCTTTGAAACCCACAACTATCACAACGTTGCAAAAGACACTGCTGATAATGTTTTTATTTCTTGGAAAAGAGTAACTGGATTGTTTTTCTGTTTAACATCACTATCCCTTGAGAAATGCATTGGAAAGTGATGTAAGTGATGCCTTATTTCTGGCAATGACTGAGACTACAAAATAAGCAGAGAGAAACTGCATTAGTTCTCCTTTTCTG